GGGAAAATAAATTCAAAACCCTCAATCTGCTGAATAAAACACATAACCAATCCAATCCTCCTAACCATACATACAACAATGGTAAAGTCTGGCCTCCTGCAGTTTTTTAACATTTCCTTCATTTTCTTTCTCGGGGTGAGCCTATTCTGCAATGCAAATGTCAATGATGAAGAAAGAAAGGCATGTATTTTCTTTGCATCTTGCAATTGAGTTTTTTATTTTAATTGTACTGTCGATTCCCATGACAGACATCATTAAGATGATGCAGGTCTATATTGTGTACATGGGATCATGTGTTGAGGGGGACACATACCAAACAACAGCTGTCCATTTCAATATGCTCCAGCAAGTAATTGGCGAAAGGTAATACTTCTGTCTCTTGTACGGCATTCACGAGTTCTTAGTTGTGAGTAGACTTCGACATATATATATATATATATATATATAAATGGAAATCACAGTTTTCTTTTGAATATGGACTGAGTGTCACCAAGAGAGTCTTTCTTGACCACAACTTCAATCTCACTCTTTTTTCTACCCAGCTCTGTAAAAGATGTCTTGATAAGAAATTACAAAAGGAGCTTTAGTGGATTTGCTGCCAGGCTCACTGATCACGAGGCAAAGAGGCTGGAAGGTAAGTGTGCAGAACAAATTTATATTGTTTATTTGATATGATATGGTTAGATAATCCTTTCAAATTGTATTGATGTGCAGGAATGAATGGAGTGGTCTCCGTTTTTCCTAGTACAACTTTCTATCCACAAACAACAAGATCATGGGATTTCTTAGGTTTGAATGAAACCGTCAAGCGCAACCCAATCGTGGAGAGTAATGCCATCATTGGTGTGATTGACAGTGGAATTTGGCCTGAATCAGAAAGCTTTAGTGACAAAGGTTTTGGTCCTCGTCCCCAAAAATGGAAAGGTGTCTGTGACGGTGGCCAAAATTTTACTTGTAACAAGTAAACATTTCTTGTTTATATACCATTATATGCAAGTAAATTGATTATTTTGTAGACAGGTTATAATCCATCCTCCTATGATTTCACTGGTTACAGCAAGCTTATTGGAGCTAGATTTTATGCAACTAACTCAGCGAGAGATGATACTGGTCATGGGAGCCATACTGCATCTATTGCAGCTGGAAACCATGTCAAAAGTGCTAGTTTATTTGGGGTGGGAGAAGGAATTGCCAAAGGAGGGGTTCCTTCTGCAAGGATAGCTGCATATAAAGCTTGTGAAGACAACGGGTGCACTTCAGATGGAATTTTGGCAGCTATTGACGATGCAATAGCTGATGGAGTTGACTTTATTACAATTTCATTAGGAACTCTAACTCCCTTAAAGATCACAGCTGATCCTATAGCAATTGGTGGTTTCCACGCAATGGAGAAAGGAGTTCTTACCCTACAATCTGCTGGAAATACTGGGTACGGTCCAGCATTTTTTCCAACTGCTAGCACAGCACCATGGGTGCTTTCTGTTGCTGCAAGTAGCATAGATCGCCAATTCAACAGCAAGGTTGTTCTTGGGAACGGGGAGACACTAACGGTGTGTATTGTGCATACGTTTTTGGAAACTCACTTGACAGCTTAAATGTTGTTAGATTGAAATGGTTCTTAATAATGTTTATGAACCTTATCTAATGATTGTCTTGTCTCTACAAACAGGGTTTGGCAATCAATACATTCACACTAAATGGAACAAAGTTCCCGGTAGTTCCTGGAGAAAATGTTACAAATGGTTCTTGCGATGAAACCAGAAGTCGGTGAGTTTCCAGTGTAGTTTCACTTTGACAGATAATTTAAATTTGACACAATGAAAAGAAAATCTGATAATTGCTTTGTTTTGTGTAAGGGCTTGTGGCTCAGGGTGTCTAAACAAAGAAGCAGTACAGGGAAAGATTGTGTTGTGCAACGATGTTAATGGAGTTAAGGGAGCCATGGATGCCAGTGCAGTAGGAGCAATTCTCTTTAACAGTTTAATTGAAACTGTTCCTAGTGCAACGATTTTCCCATTACCTGCCACAGCTTTGAATAGCGATAACTATACTGTTGTGGAAAACTACGTAAAGTTCAACAACACCAAGTAAGTACACATCTAGAACCACCATTTTATTTGTGTAGCATTTGTGCATATTTGATTTACTGGATGCATCACATCTTATATTACAGAAATCCTGTAGCCGAAATATTAAAAAGTGAAACCGATAAAAACCCTAATGCTTCTAGAGTAGCTCTCTTCTCTTCACGTGGACCAAATCCTTTAATACCGGATGTTCTGAAGGTAAGAAGCCATTTTTCGTAACCTAAACTTATGTCCTGTTTCTGAATCTTTTACCCTTTTTTCTTTTTGCCATTTTCAATACATTTTTCCAAGTTTTATGCAGCCAGATTTAAGTGCTCCTGGGGTGAATATCTTGGCAGCGTTCTCACCTTTAGCTCCACTCACACAATATCCTTCTGACACAAGGCACACCAACTACAATTTTATTTCTGGAACTTCCATGGCTTGTCCTCATGCTGCTGCTGCTGCTGCCTATGTTAAAACAATTCATCCTGATTGGTCTCCTTCTGCCATCAAATCTGCTTTGATGACTACTAGTAATCTTCATCAATCTAACTTTGTAGTTTTTTTTTCCCTTCTTGTTATATTATTATTTTTTGTACCTCGCTTAATGTTTCATATTCCTGCAGCTTCCTTCGTCGAGCCAAATCCTGAAGTTGGTCAAGGTCTAGGACTTGCTTTTTCATCCGGAAATATTAATCCTGTGCAAGCTATTGATCCAGGACTTGTGTATGAAACTTTTAAAGAAGACTACATACAAATGCTTTGCAGCATTGGTTATACTTCAAATTATATTAGAGCAATATCTGGAGATAACAGCTCTTGTCCAGAAAGCTCAAAGATTGTACCTGCAAGGGATTTGAATTATCCTTCATTGACAGCTCAGGTTCCAATTAGAGGCAAACCTTTCAAACTTGAGTTTCATAGAACAGTTACAAATGTTGGCAATGCAAATTCAACTTACAAGGTACAAGTCTCTCAAAAGTCCGAGTTCAATCTCACCATCGCTGTAGTTCCTGAAGTTTTATCTTTCGAGTCTATAAGTGAGAAGAAGTCTTTCACCGTGACTGTTACTGCAGAAGGTTTTGACAGGTTTGACTATGTGACTACAGACTTGGTATGGTCTGATGGTAGCCATATGGTTAAAAGTCCCATAGTGCTACATTCATACATCTTCAAACGTCTATAATACGGGGCAATCATCAGGCTTCTTGCAATCTTGTTCTACAATTATCTCAAACTCATCTCACCAGTAGAGATCTTGTATGAACTTTTCAAAAAAAAAATACCATAATAAAGTTTTGTTTTGTATATTGAAAGGTTAACTATTTAGTGTCACAAAAATTTAAATATTTAATTTTGATTTTAAATCAAGATTTTAAAATTAATATGCATCAATTTAACCAATTTTTTGTTGATGTAATAAAGTTTAGTTACTTGGATTGAAACAACTCCATATCTTGAGTCATTAGTTATCAAGGATATTGGTTTTCTTATACTGGACTTTAAGTGAAATAATGCACATCACTGCTAACTCCTTGTAGTTCCAATTCAAAAACATCAGTCTCCAATAAATATTTTGAAAAATGAATTGTTGGATGATAAATTTTAAGTTAATTTAAAATCTATAATTATTAATCAAGAAAGTGAATTTTTTTAACATGTCTTTAATAATGTCAAATTTTATTATTCTCCTTTCGAATTTCTGATCCTATCATGGTAGAATGGATCTCCTGCACCGCGGCGGTTCCGGTATGGCCGTCAATTCCGCTAACAATTTCCGAGCTCCCTGTAGAGACACGCTCGTGGATTGCGCCGCGAAATCCGTCACACGAAGTGAAATCGTTTAGCTCGCGTGCACTGGATTCTGATGATGAGATCATCGGACTCATCGACACAGAAGCGAATCTAGTTGGGCGGCTGTCCGAGGATGGCGAAGAAATTTAATGCCCTTCTCCTAAACGATGCCGTTTTACATTTTTTGGAGAATTAAGTCCCTCTTCTTTGTCTTGTTCTCATTTAAGTCCCTTCATTAAAAATACACAACTTTATTAGTTTTCAATTAAGTCTCTTTGCTTTATTTTTATTATTTTTTCTTCAGATTTTACTATTTTTATTCGTCATTTTTATTTTTATATTCTTTATTGAATTTGAGACTGTTATTAAAAGTCTCTAGAAAAAATTAGATAAGGACGTGTTGCCCTAAATGGAAAAAAATCTCCATTTTCTTTTTTTTTTTTCCTTATAGAATCCATTTTCCTTCTCTGTAAAAGATCACACCTTTCTTAAAGGTTAAATATCAATTCTAGTTTTAAAACTTTCAATTTTGAACAGTTCACCACTTAAGTTATATTTTTATATTATTTTCATTCCTAAATTATAAAAAAATACACTTTTTTAGTCAATTTATTAGTTAATCTATTTATATATACACATTTTTAGTTTTTGAACTCCAGGGCTAAAAATGTGCATGTATTATAAGTTTAAGAGTTAAAAGTATTATAAGTTTAAGAGTTAAAATTTTACATATATTATAAATTTATGAACTAAAAATATGTATATTTGAAAAAACTTTAAAAATTAATTGATAAAATACTAAAAAAGTGCATTTTTAATACTTTAATAACAAAAAAAAAGTATAATAGTTCATGAAATAAAAATGTTTAAACGTCAATAACTAAAATTGGCATTTAACTTTTTTAAAATGATTAAGCGAATAGGGAAGTAAATTTCTTGGGATATTTCCAAGGACCCTAAGAGAAGAGAAGGGAAGAAAATAAATACAAAATCCTCAATCTGCTATATAAAACACACAATCAATCCTCCTTGCTATGCATACCACAATGGTAAAGTTTGGCTTCCTACAGTTTTTTAACATCTCTTTCATTTTCTTTCTTGGTGTGAGCCTATTCTGCAATGCCAAGATCAATGATGAAGAAAGAAAGGCATGTATCATCTTTGCATCTTACAACCGACTTTCTTATTTTTAATTATATGGTCAATTGTCCTGACAAACATCAGTAAGATGATGTAGGTCTACATCGTTTACATGGGATCATGTGTTGAGGGGGGCAT